GGAGCTCCTTATTAAGAGTGCATTTCTCATACTACTCATTCTCATTCAATTTATGTCAGATCTCACCTGCCTTGACAAAAAGAAACTGCAGGATACACACAGGATACGATTCTCCTTATTCATACTGAAACCCTGCTTATAGGAAACAACCAAATGAGGTTTCTGAATGCAGGTTAGCCGTTTCTTTCCCAGTCTCCTGAAGAGGGTTAACTTCACCTGTCCACTTCTGGATGCAGAAAGTATGACTGTAACATGTGAAGAATAAGTGTCTGTTACAAAACTCTATTTTCAAAGTTTAACAAATAGTTCTTAGACACATATTTTGAAAAGGTATCAAAATTGTATACCAAAATAAAGTGAGTTATTAATATTACAAAGTTAAAAAAAATTAATACACAGTTGATACACAGCACATTAAGCTATTTAACTCCAAAACTTAAGTTGTAGCTTTAAGTTATACTTTTAGGTTTAAGCTTAGTAGTGCGAAACTTTATCCAGCACCTATACATAACTCACAACTGGTAGCCCAGTGAAGCTCAGCAGGTATGAGCCTGGGCAGTACCTGGATGTGAGACCTCCTGGGAAAAGCTATGGTTGCTGGTGGAAGAACTGTTAGTGGGGCCAGCAGGAGGTGCTCATCCTGCAGTCTGTCCCAGTATAGCGACAGAGACAATAGACTGTACAAAAGGTGCTGTCCTTTGGATGAGACATAAAACTGAGGTCCTGACTTTTCACGGTCATTAATAATCCAAGGCATTTCTCAAAAAGAGTAGGGGTGTTACCTCCAATTCTTCAATTTTCCCATTGAGCTTTACCAAGCACAGCCTCCTAATAATCCCTAATAATCTCTGAACTTCATCACTCTGTTCTCCTCCTCACCGATTGCTGGTGTGTGGGGAGCATACTGGCGAACTATGGCTGCCATCACATCATCGTGGTGGAGCCTATAAAACGCTTGAAGTGAAGTGTCCGGAAAAACACTGTATAAGTGTAAGGATATTATTATTTTATTGTTACATTTTTCCAGAAGTTCTAAAGCTGTAAACATATTGACATGGGTAACTTTTAAGATGCATTAATATTTTAACAAAGGATTCAGTGTTAGAGGAGATTTAAAATGAGATAAAATTATCAAACCAAACTTAATCAGACATTAAAAGATTGACACACATCTCTTAGAACTGACCATTTCTTTAAAATTCTCTCCCTCTCCTAACTTTAATGTCTAATATGTTTTTTTTCTAACTGGCATTAGTCAGAGAATATGGTTTCAGGACATCCCTAGAGACATAACAAAATCAGCAAACAGTTTGAAACCAATAGCATGTTTGCCTCTTAGAATATACAGCATGTCATTATATTGGATGGAAAGGGTGGACAATGATGCATGATTCTGCATTCAAATATCACACTTCCTATAATTATTAGAAATAATTATATTTAACTATAGGGAGATGTAGCTTTTACTGTACCTTCAAAATTGCTTTTGGCAACAATAAAAACATCTGGGATTTGTTGGTATTGGTTTCCTCCTGCTCGTGGCATTGGATTAGAAGCGGAAAACAATTAACTAAAGACTTAGCTGGCTACATAACAGACTATCTGGCTACATCGTCTAATTCTAAGAATTTTTGAACATGCATTGCCTTTCAAAATTAAAATAAAATCACACAGAATTTGCCTAGCTACAATTTACAGTAAAATGGTTTAAAATATGTGTCGTTTAGTAAACAATTGTGTATTAATTTTAATTAAAATTCATTCAGTTGCGTGAAGTTACACAGATGGAGACTCTCAAGCTATTCCTAAAATGTTTGTTTTCATATGTGAGTCTACAAACCTGAAAGTGATTGGAAACATAGAGAATAAAAAAGGAGCTAAGACAAAAAGATGGTTTAAAATTTTTCTGTACAATATTATTATTCTACATAATTTGATTATCAGACCCATGGATATACATCTGCTTTATACACTTTTGCCCAATTATTTTGAATATTTTTTAACTGGCTCTGTTGTCTGTATTAATAAAAATAGATTAGCTTACTGAAAAGAAACTTTATGGGGTATTGCATAGAACACACAAATATTAGGAAACTCTGTCAAATTCCCTTTTTTGCATAATTTCTAAAGAAATAAATCACACCCCCTTGGGTGACAAACATCTACAGCAATGAGCAGGAAGCTTTGATAAAGTGCATTAATTCAAAGAACCAATCACTTTGGACAGAGGCTGAACCTTTCTTGTCTGAAACATATAAATGAATTGTTTTGGAACATTTAAGCTAAAGGAAACTTTAGGAGTGACTCTAAGCAGAAGACATCTCATGCTTCAAAGAACAACAAACAGCAATCCCACAGTATCTTGATTTTCCAGGTGTCAGACTCCTGCTCCTGAACAACCTTCCATCCAGCACAGGTACCAATACCCTAATGTGTTCTGTGTTTCAGGATAATAGTCAGCATTATTAATACAGGACTTGTGAAACTTATGAATTACAATGTATTTTGTTTTAATATGGTATCAGGCAGAGGATTCTTAATGAAGACTCAATGTGCTAAGACAAGTGTCTCAAATGATACTGTATAATCCTCTAACAACTGACTGAGGAAAAACATGAGATTGTAGCAACAAAAAGGACAAGAGTAGTCATCAGAAAGGATTATTTGTTCATCAGTTTTCAGAGATTCTATGCTCATGTTCCAAATGAAAGTCTATCTGTATCCAAAGTCTATATCCAGCATATAGTACAAACAATGTTGACAATGCATGCTTGCATCCTGTATCTCTTGTGTTGTAACTAAATTTGATATTCTCTGATGTGTCTATATGTGAAGAATAAGTGTTCTCATCATCGTAAACCTTAAAGGTCTCATTTTCACTTGAGTACCCTTCCACAGTTCTCTATTCATGACAGGGTTATTTATATTTTATTTCATTTTCATTTTTTTCTTTTCTAAAAACAAAATTACAGATACAAAAAGTAGGCAATAATCCCCTAAGAAAGGTAACAAATGAGAGTTGGCCATTCGACCCATCTAAAACAGTTGATTTCTTTGCTTTGTTGCCATAAGAGCCAGCTGCATAGAATTTGGTTTGGTCACCTCATACCTTTAAAGGCATACAATACAAATAAACAACATGTCAACAAAGACGATAGTAGAATGCATCCACCCAAATCTTTCACAAACCATCTTCAACACACACCAGTACTAAAATAAGTAACAGTGGGGCCTGCTAGAATAACAATGAGCCGTGCAAACATTTAAAAAAGTTAAAGCTCAGAGTTTATGCACCTCAGAATCTCTGGGTAGGTGCTGTTACAGAACCTAGTGGTCCTTGTCTTAATAGACCTGAGCCACCTACCAGAGGGGAGAGACGTAAACAGAGGCTGGTGAGGGTGGGAAGAGTCAAAGAGGATCTTTACAGCTTTGTGTTTCAGTCTAGAGAGGTAGAGTGAGTCCACAGAGGGAAAGTGGTCTCCTACAGTTTTGGATCTGATATACACTACTGTCTCTAGCTGCTTCTTCTCCTGGGCTGAAGTGTTTCCATCCCACACACTCCAAACATCTTTAACTGTCTCAGGAAGAAAAGCCTATGTTGAGCTTTCTTCACCATGATGGACGTGTTGACCTCCCATTTAGAGTGTGGGAGATGGTGATGCCAAGGAACGTCAAATTCTCCACCACCTCTACAGTCTGACCACTGATGTACAGTGGTGAGAGTGCTCCTTAGCCTCGCCTAAAGTCCATCACCAGTTTTTGGTTTTACTGAAATTTAGCTCTAGGTTTTTTTCAACTAATTCAACTACTTCATTCCTTCGTACAGACTCGTCATTGTTTGTGATATGCCCTGAGAGAATAGTGTTATCAGTGAACTTGAACATGTTCCATATAACTCATGGAAACTCCTTTTAGTTCATATTATTTGTCATACACACAAGTGAAGTGCTTATTTGCATGTATGCTCCAATACAAAGACACTAACCTAACATTAAACCTAAGCACAGAATCACAGCTGTCACAATAAACTTAAAGAACATCAGTGTGAGTCAGTGGTAGAGGTAGAATTCGATAGTCTGACATGTTGTGGGAAGAAGCTGTCTCTGAATCTGGAGGCACATGTTTTTATACTCCTTCAGTATAACGCATACCAGAGGGCAGTGGAGAGAAAAATGAGAAACCAGGATGAGTGTAATCCTTAGCAATACACCCAGGCTTCCTGAGACAGTGAGTTGTAAAACATCCTCAATAGAGGGGAGCTGTACTTCAATGATGGACTGGGTTGACCTGAGCACCCCCTGTGTCACAATTCGGTCAGACAACGAGCTGCTGCCAAAACATGCTGTAATAACACACTTTCAATAGGGCGACTATAGTATGTAGTAAGAATATATTAAGATAAACCAAATGTTATCAACTGTCTGAGGAACTAAAGGCACTATTGTGTCTTCTTTATAGCCCTAGTGACATGTTGGTACCAAGTTAAATAGTTAGTAATGAAGGTGCCCAGGAACTTGAAGCTCCTAACCATCTCTACCCCATTGATGTGAATGATGGTATGTTCCCCACCCTGCTTTCGAAAATCAATAACCAGCTCTTTAGTTTTGCTGAAAACGAGGAAGAGATTATTGTCAAGGCACTTGGAGCTGTGTCTGGCCACACAATTGTAGGAAACAAGGGAAACAGCATGGGTCTAAGCACACAACCCTGAGGGATGCCTATACTGGCAGTCAGCATGGAAGAGAGCCTTCTATCAACCCTCACAGTCTGTGGTCTGCCAGTCAGGAAATCTAGAACCCTGCCGCAAAGAGAGGAGCTGAGACCTGATAATTAAGCTTGATGACTAGTTTGGATGGAGCTATAATGTTAAAGATATAGCTGTAATCAATGAATAGAATTCTAACACGTGTCTACATCATCAAAATGGGCCAAGGCAGTGTGAAGTTCCAGGGAAATAATAATAATAATTAATAATTGCTTTAACTTATGTAGCACTTTTCTGGACACTCCACTCAAAGTTCTTTACAGGTAATGGGGACTCCCCTCCACCACCACAAGTGTGCAGCATCCACCTGGATGATAAATGAATAGCATCAATAGCAGCAATAACCTCAACCAAATGTTTCCAATAGTTGCACATTGAGCACATTGAGTAGTCCTGTATATTGGTTTAAAGACAATTTGGCCCCTTTTTCTTTACAGTGTTTCAGTCATTCTTGCATGAATGGCTTACTTCAGGTCATACCACAGCATTTCAGTGGCGTCAGAACTCTGACTTGGGCATTCCAAAATGCAAAATTTCCTGAGTTTAAGCCAATATATGTAGATTTACTCCTGTGTTTAGGATCATTGTCCTGCTGCATGACCCAACTTCTATTAAGCTTCAGATCACAAATGGATACCCTGACATTCTCCTGTAGAATTTGCTGATACAATTTGGAATTTATTATTCCCTCAATTATTCCATAAAACCATGATTCTCCCTCCATCATGCTTCATGGCTTGGAACAGGTTTTTGTGTTGTTGTGTAGTGTTTAATGTCCTCCAAACATAATATTGTTTACTTATTCCAAAAAGTTCCACTGTTGTCTCATCTGTCCACAGAATATTATTCCAGTAGAGTAGTGTCAAACTTGGGCAGCAATTTTTTTTTCTATAGCAGGGGTTTCTTCTATGCTATTATCCCATGGACACCACTTTGTTCAGTGTTCTTATTGTGGACTCATGAACACAGACATTAGCCAGTGCAAGAGATGTCTGCAGATCCTTACCTGTTACCATAGTGTTCTTTGTCACCTCCTTGAGATTGTATGGCTGATTTTTGTTGGAAAACCACTCCTAGGTGGTTGCTACTGAATTTCTTCCATTTGTACACTATCCGCATGACTGTGGATTGATGGAGGCCAATGTCCTCTTTTGATTGGGGCATGTTTCACTTCGACATATCTTTGTTAAGAAGAGCGAAGAGTGGATTCTTTTGGTACCCAAACATGATGGAATTTTTCATAGGGCAGGACACCTCAAACTCACACCTGAATGTCTTCTCATTGATGGGAACTCCAGACTCCAATAACCCCCTTTAACAGAGATCATTATCTGAGAGGTTCACATACTTTTTTTGAACATAGACAGAGAATGTTTAAACAATGTATTTAATATAGACAAGAAAAGGCATAATCATTTGTGTGTTATTTATTTGATCAGATTGTGTTTATCTATTATTATGACTTAATGAAAATTAACGCATTTTACGAAACATTTATGTAGGAATACTGATAGCTCACAACTGTTGATTCCTGTTTCTTCTCCACAATGACTTGTAGTGTGCTCTCACGAGGCACCTGTTCTGTAGGGTTTGGGCATTTACTGGGACAATTATTAATTGTAGCAGTAAATCACGAAATTCATTCTTTTAATGGCCTTAGAATACAACCATGCGATATAACTCAAACAACGCACACACACAGGTACTAATACACGAGGATACATTTATTAATACATA